CTCTGCTGGCAGCTTCTCCATCACAGAACAGACGCTGTTACCCAGAACCCCGCTGTCCAGCTTGAAGCTGGGCCCACGAGTGCCACGCCTGGGGGTGGGCCGGGGCGCAGAGGTCAGAGTGCGCGCCTGTCGCGGTCCGGCTGCGCCTCTATGCCACACGGACAGGTCCCCGCAGCCACGCTTCCGTGGCTCTCATGCCTTCCTCGACACTCAGGGAGCAGACGCGTGGCTCCGGCCCTGTGGCTTCCGTGTGGCCCCGCTCCTCTGGGCCGGACAGGACTCTTGTGGTCGTGCTCAGAGGAGTCTGCCTTAGCCAGGCCACGCCGCGTTTTCTGGGGCCCCCCCAGGACCTCCCACGGCAACTGCCTCAAACTCGGGGCAGCAGTGAGGACACTCGGCCGCCCTCGGCAGGCTTCCGAGCTGGACTTTCCAGCCTTAATAAAAGGCATCCGGCAACGTGGGCACTCAGCGCTTCCCATCCTCAGCCTAAACACTGAGGTTTCTGCAAAGTAGACCCCGGACACGCACCGACACGTCACAGACGCGGCTCAATGTGGGCAGGGCAGGGGGTCCCCAGTCCCACATGCCCTCTGGAGCCAGGGCAGAGGCCACACGGCAGCCTGACGCCTTGGGCCCGCTTCCAGCCCAGAAGCTAGCAAGGGGAGCTGCACACACACAGCCACACGCCGTCGCACACACGGTCACACACGCAAACACAAAGCCCTCAGGAACACGAGCGCATGACACAGTCACGACCACCGGGTCGGGGCAGGCAGGGGCCCAGGGCCTCGGGGGGCCCCGGCCTGGGCTCAGAGACACCCCTGAGGCCGCCACCCGGCTGTCAAGGGCCTTGCCCGTGGCCATGACCCAGTCATGGGGCCCAGTGCTGGGGGGCCTCTCCAGCTCCAGTGGACGCCCAGGGGGCAGGGAGCTGCACTGAACACACCTCTCCTGAAGCCTCCTGGACGTGGCCCCGAGCGGGCCCTCCGCCCTCCCCTCGTGGCTCATGGGTGCCAACTCCCCTCTCCCACCGGGGACTGTGGGGTCCTGCTGGGACCCCAGAGGAGCGCTTCGGGAGCCCAGTCCCCAGATAGGCGGTCAGCCCCACATCCAGGCCTTGGGGCCACACCTCCTCTCACTGTTCCCCGTAATCACTGCATTTATTTATTCACAAGTAACAAGTGAAGGGGAGTGGGGCAGCCCCAGAGCAAACACCTGGGGGCCCAGCAGCTGCCTGGGCA